TTTCTCCCAGGCCAGTCCTCACCGAGTCCGACTCTATCTCTATTGCGCCGGGCGCCTCTCCAGACCTCCCGGGAGGGGCGCGAGGAGCAATGGAAGCCTTTTTCCCTGGAAAAGATGCTCTGCCACTAAGGGGCTCCTTTCCAGTGAGCAGCAGCCACTCCCTAATGCTGTCCCCATGACAACAGCCCTGTGAGGTAGGTTATGCTGGAAGAGGGTGGCATGCTTAAAGTCACAGCCCCGTGGTCGAGTGGGGACTTAACCAGAGTGTCTGCTTCCATGTTAGACACTTTAAACAGCACTCTGCACTGGCTCACAGCCTTCCTGTCCTAAAATCCTGACTCTTTCCTCTCTCAGAATAACCCACAAGGATGCTAGTTGTTCCAACTTCCCCCACCTGGTTCCCCCCCCCCCCGCCACCGACCCCTCACACATGTGAACTACATCTCCCATCATCCAGGAAAGAGCCACGTTATCTAGCGATGATGGGAATTGCAGTTAGAGATATTGGAGGGTGCCAATTCAAGGCCTGTGTATGGAAGCCCAGAAATTAGGTAAAGGTTTGTATGTGGGCAAGTGAGTTCTTACTTTGGAGATTAGGGCTGCAGAGACTGGAAACACTAACTAAAAATTCCTCCAATCCGGCACCTGAATGATGTCTCTGGGAAACACATAAGCAACTGATAGAAACCAGACACGCACCTTCATTGTTTGTCTCAGTAATCATAATTTTGGTACTCAGGAAGTTGCTCTACGCTTACATGGAGATCTTAGACCCATTTTGCTCCACTGTCTAATCGTCTTGTTAAGAGAATGGGGATCACCACCTCTTGTGGCAGGGAATTCCATGGATTCATTGTGCCCTGGACTACTTTTGTTTGAGAAACAAGTCCCTTTTTACACTGAAAAAACTAGTCCTGAAACAAAACATTGCAAATCATTTCAAGCAAATTCCCTTGGGTGAGGCTTCTTGGTAAAAAGTGCCCTTAGGAATGCCATCTCTCCATTCTTAAAAAGTCACCATAGTATCTTTTTATATGAGATAGTCAGATAATAGTGATATAAAAGTACCCAGATGGGCAAAAAGAAATCTGACATTATTAAGATTCCTACGTTTTCTTACATTATCTGATGTGTTTTTATTCTGTCCTTCCAAGAACGAGCTTAGGAAAGCATACATCCATTCTTGTCTTTTTCTCCTCACAGCATCCTGTGAAGTGAATGAAGCTGAGAAACAGCGATGAGCCTAAAATCACCTTCTTAGGCTGGAGTCACAATATGAAATGTTAGCCATGATGCCAAACTGCCCATTTTAAAGAAAACTCTAACCAAAGCATGGTTTTGCATTTTTCAAAATGTGATCTTTCAGAGGTTTTAAAATGAGTTTTCTGGATTTTGATTCAAACAAGGTATTGCCTTCCTTTGGGGCTTAATGAAGACAGGTGGCCAAGGCAACAGAATGATTCAGGGGGTGGTCAAAAAAGTCAAGATGGCAGCCACAGTGGTGTCAGGGAACAAAGCAACTTTCAGTTGGTATCAATATCTTTAAAGGTCCCCAACAACCTTAATTTGCCCCAGTGTCAGCTCTACGGCAGGAGGAGCATAACATTAGCTATCCTCAAAGTAACAAGCAACAACACTCCTTTAGTGTGGTTGCACAAACTGGCCTAAGTGGGCTGTTTCTTAGCTTCATTTCTTTGGATCCAACCAGACAGAAAACCTTACTTCCCCCACATGAGATTCCAAATGTGGTTTCTCTGCCACCGTTTGCTCATCACAGTCTATGACAGCTCTGCTCTCTTGCTGGCCTGCTGTCTTGTGATCCAGGTACTAAGCTCTGGGGACCTGGACCATTGTCAACCGAAAGCATCTTGGAAATATGAGGAAATTCCCACACTGAGGCTGTGTTCCTGTGCACACCTGTCTGGGAACAATTCAGGGGGTTGGCTGTTGACTAGGCCTAGCAAAGAGCTTTGCTTCTCATAACCTGCTTAATGACAGCTTCTGTGAAATGTGCACACTTGCACATTATTTGCCATTCACTGAATGTTGTTCTATCTTTTTGCATCTCCCCCAGGAACACAAGATGATCTGTAGGGCAGTGTTCTTCAACCTTGAGAACCTGAAGACGTGTGGACTTCAACTCCCAGAATTCCCCAGCCAGCATGCTGGCTGGGGAATTCTGGGAGGCGA